ACATACCTCCCGGACACTCACCGCGGCCAGCACCCCCTCCCAGGATGCTCGCCGTGGGTGTCTAGCCCTGCCCTGGCGGGCGGCTGGCTCCCGTGAGCATCACTCTGGGTGCTGGAGCACCTTTCTCCGCCTTTGCCTCAGAGGGGTTAAATTTTGCTGTGAATGAGAGAGGGGGGAAATAAGTTGGCTAATTGGAGAGAATCAAAGAGCCTGGGGGCCCTTGAGTTGCTTGTTGCAAGAGTGAAGGAGGGTTGTTATATGTCCGGAATTTTCCAGACATACATGATTTCACAAAATATTTCACTTTTTGAAATATGACAACCAGAGAAGGAACCCTATAATGTGCATAGAGTAGATAATTCCCCCTAGTTTTCATTTATTGGGTTTTTACTCTTCCAGTATAGGATTAGTCAGGTTCTAGAAGGCTCTTCTGTGCCTCACTTTTCACCGCAGACAGTTGCTAGCTTTGGAAAACACTGCACGTTGGTCTTTAATCCACATTCTGTAAGGCCGTTGCCAATAGAGGATTTAGCCTGACAGCTGTGTTTTCTTCCTGTTTTATTTTTCCGAAATACTTCCCCCGCCTCCATGCACTGTTGTTTGCAGCTTGCTTTTGATGTCCCTTTGTAACATTTCTAACTTGGCTTTTTTAGCAAATGAAGAACCATTCTCAAAATCACTAATTAGGTATTCAGTTGTTGGGTCTCATTTCCTGGCTGCTTTCTCTTTGTCTCCATTTTGAGTACAACTTGCAGCTTTTTATCTTTGGCCTTTCCTAACAAAGATGTGATTATTGGTCAATATTCCTTAGCGTGTTGATCACTTGTTCTCTAAAAGAAGCATTGTTGCATTGGGCTGAAATGTGTTCTCAAAACTTTATATATTAACTTCCTGTGTTGTACTTAAGATGGATTCAAATTCAACCAGAAATTTGCATTTGAATATTGATAATAAGACTTCTTTACAGTATTATCGATATTCAGAGAAGTGTGAGCTTTGAAGGGTGGGTGTATTTTGATTTGTGTATTGTTTCAGAAGGTGTGGATTGGTTCTCCTTTAAATAAGAATGGATTCCAGTTTTGTCTGCCTCCCTGTCTCCTTTTTAGTAGCAAATGGCATCCAGACTGTTATTTGAAACCAACACTTTTGTTTCTTTGTGAAGGTATGCACTCACTGTTATTTATACTAGCAGTGAGATCTATTAGCTGAACTAGTTTCAAGAGAACCTATACAGTGGTACCTTGGTTAGTTTATGAACAACTTAGAATAGAATCATAGAATCATAGAATCATAGAGTTGGAATAGACCACAAGGGCCATCGAGTCCAACCCCCTGCCAAGCAGGAAACAAAGTTTATGAACAACTTGGATTAAGAACCCTGCAAACCCGAAAGTAGGTGTTTAGGTTTGTGAACTTTGCCTTGGTAGCAGAACATGTTTCTGCTTCCTGTTGAGTGTGTTCCAGTTGTAAATTGAGTCCCCCACTGCTATGGAAAACCACGATTTGGTTTAAGAACACTTTGGTTTAAGAACAGACTTCCAGAATGGATTAAGTTCGTAAACCATGGTACCACTGTACAACAGTTTGTTCCCTTCGATTTCTATATAATATTAGTAAGAATGCATCAACAATAGGTCATTGCCTCACAGTGATCTCTCAGTTGTTTATTCTATGAGTGAATATGAGGAGTCACACATGATAATGAAATTTGTGCATTTACAAAAGGTTTGTACCAAACGTGAGAGAGACCAATAACTGATACGATAAAGGGATATTTCTCTGACTATTCATCTCACTAGTAACAATAAAATAGATAGCTGTATTGTAAGTGACAGCCTCAATTGATACACAACTCTGATGGCTAGCTGTAGGGTATAGTGATTTATGTTGCTGACAATTACTTAGGCAAAACACTCACACAAATCAAGAAATGCTGAGAGAAATTGGTAAGTATTAATAATATGCTTCATAATGTGCTAAATAGAGCTTGTGGTGCCAATCAATGGAATGTCATCAAGTAACGAAGCAAATAGAGGGGAAGAAAGAGGAAAGCAAAGAGCTGTAATTTGTTGCTAAGCAACACTTGGCCAATTTTTCTCTTGTTTCTTGTGGGTTATCTAGAACCAATTAAGGAGACCACCAGCTCAGGGCTGGCCCTGCCATTAGGCAAAGTGAGAGGGTTGCCGCAGACACCTGATATGGGGTATCGTGAAAGGGTAGCAAATGATTAGTTATGCAATTATTTTAATTGTTGTTGTTTTTTTGTTTCTTTTACTGCTGGGAGAGGCAGAATTGCTTTGGGGGTTATTATTATATTTTTGCTTCAAATTCCAAAATAACTTAACCAGCCTTGGGTGTTATGTACCTTGACCTGGAAGCAGGAACACCATGCTGTTCCGCCCCAGGTAGCAAAATGTCTTGGCAAGGCCCTGCCTGAGGCTCTGGTTGTCACAATTTCACTGGGAAAACCATGATTTACAAAGCCCTGCGGCAGGGAAAACTCAACACTTGATCAGTCCCAGTTTTAAAGCAGCAGCACAGCATGTGCCTAGGCTGGCAGAAGCTGAAGGCTCAAGATATACTTTGCTTAGAAAAGTCACATATAAAACCTCTACAATCTTCATATATAGAAACTACGGTAATCCTTGTGATGGTTGTCTAGTTCTTTTGTGAGGAAAATGTCATTTATCTCCATCCAGAACATGCTGCTTTCAATCTAGATTGATTCTAGATCGTGCTATCCACATGGGTGCATGCTAAGAGTTTACTTCTAAACCACTGGTTCTTACCCAGGTGAGGGAGCAAACATTTAAATAAAAATACAACTAAGAGAAAATCAAAGCAAAGTACCCAGCAGAGACCCGGCTTATTTAGAAAATCTATTGCACAACAGAACAGTCTTGCTAACCAGTTGTTAGGTGAACCACTGCCCTCTCAAAAAAATGATTAATGGGAACCGTAGCTTGTTAAGGATGCTAGGAATTGTAGCTCAGTGAGGGAGTAAACCAGTTTGGTGGGGAAATGTATGGGGTGTGCTCCATTTAAGTGCATCGGACATGCTTTCAGTTAGGTTCTCAGTGTTGGTTCTTCACATGCCATTGCAGTTTGGTGTGGCCAACCAACAGAGCAAAACAGAGACATGGGGTCCCTGCATTCTCTAGGGGGCTCCACTGAGTTTGATTAGACAAACAGTGTCTCCACCTGAGAGATGAAAAGTCATCAGGGCATGTGGTGGCAGCAAGATTTTAAACCAGAAGTATTTTTTAACCATTGCGTCCACTTTTTTCCATTTAGTAAATAAAACTATGGACTGTTTAGCACCTTGAAAACAAGCTGCACTTGCAGAGTCATTGAAGAGAATGACCCAAAAAGATGGGATGGTTCATCCAGGCTTTAACAATCAGCATTGTTTTAGGCTTTTATTGCCTGAGATGGTAATAAAAATGAAACAATCAGCACTCTATTTACACCCAGGAGATTATTCTTCTTGCTCCATGACCTGAGGTGCCATGGAGAAGGACCTTCTTCTGCTGAGTCCTATAATGCTGATATTAAAAGTTTAATGAAACAGAGCATTAGAACACAAAGTGCAGTGCTTAGACTGCGCCTCTTGTGTTTTTATGTCCTTTGCATTAGTGTGAACCAGTATTTCTCCATAAATGCATAGAAATAATAGTTGTAGTTTTATAAGACAACATCAGCTAGTCCACAAGAGGCAATGCAAAGATAAAAAGAGAACATGTAAATAATACCTAACAGAGTCATGTGGGATCAAAGAAAGTAGGAAGAAAGTGTTTGCTATGGATCAGCCATGTGTTCTCTAGGTAACATTATTGGTTCAAATGCAGCGATTTCAAGAAGGGAAGTCAGAAAGTCTTGTAAAATCCTAAATTCAACTTTTTGTGAATGTTTGTTCACAGTCATTTCCTTCCTTTTGCTTGAGTGACCACTTAAAAACCTCTGTTCCATTCTTTCTTAAGTGCTTCTAGCCAATTAAGGATCACATGCTGGATGTAATGATGGTGCGGAAACTCTGGAGTCAATCAGATTTGACACTTTCCTGAGCATCACTAAGGGTGAATGGCTAATTTGGACTCAGGTGGTCTTTATAGGAAAGATGACTAAATAGCAGGGGGGAGGGGGGATGCACCTTGGGATCAGACTACATGCTACCTTACACAGAAGTCAGTTTCTCTCCCCCCTCCCGTTCTGTGGCAGGTCAGGGAGGAAGGCAGTAGTCACCCATCAAACCATTTCACAAGCCACTTCTAAAGATAGTTTAAAATGAATAGCACACATTTAAATTAGAAGTGTGCTACAATAATAAGCAACAATGTGGGCAAAATATGTCAAATGTTTTTCCAGGTAGATGATCATCATCATCATCATCAAACAAACTAACAAACAAACTTCACTATCAAGGGCAAATTAGATTATGTAGGGTAAGTAGAGTAAGGAATGTTAACTGAAATTTCAGTTTTTCTAATGTCTTTGATGAAGTTGCAAGCTTCACAAATGCATGCCTTTCAGTTTCATGTCTGCTTAGACAACAGTTATCTTTGGTTACCTGGAGCTGAACTTCTTGATCTTGCCTAAGCATCATTGGCACCCTTACTGATGGCATGCACATATTATACAGATGCCATATATGTGTGGCATTAATCAGGATGACGCTGAAGAAAACATGGAAGCATTTGGGGATATAAAGAGGAAACTTCTTACAGGGATTTGTTTGAATAGCTTCAGTTTCTTGGCAAAATTGCTGATCAGTCTCAGCCAATGCCTTCTCACCTGCCCTTACATTCTGAATTTGGTTGATCTGGTATATCTGGCTTGCTGTTCATCTGATTTTGTAATGTTAATAAATACAACCATTCTCCCAATGTTTTGTCTTAAGTGTCTTCTTTTTAGGTGTGGGGGCAATTGTACATTTTTCTGTTTAAAAAAATGCAGATCAGTTGCACGTTCTAAAACATTTTCTTTTTGCTTGTTTCTCCTAGTTTGCTCCCAGTTTTCAAGAGGAGTCTTTGCTATTTTTGGATTTTATGACAAGAAGTCTGTAAATACCATCACATCATTTTGTGGAACACTTCATGTCTCCTTCATAACACCCAGCTTCCCAACAGATGGAACACACCCATTTGTCATCCAGATGAGGCCAGACCTCAAGGGAGCACTTCTGAGCTTGATTGAATATTACCAGTGGACCAAGTTTGCATATCTCTATGACAGTGACAGAGGTAAGGTGTTCTTCATAACTTACGGAAATTAATTTTGAACCACAAACCTAACTGAAATGATGTAGGAGCCCGAGAGTGCCAAGCATAACAGAACAGTTTTTTAGAGAAAGAACAGTTAAAGAACAGTTAAAGAACAGTTAAAGAACTTAAAGAACAGTTTTGTAAGTTCTGGCCTTGGGTGCTTAAGGATAAAGGGTGACTGCTGTAATATGGTAAGTAGCAGACTGAACTGCCTTCTGGATCCAAGACATTGCTTATGCGTCTTTTTTCTTTCTTCCTGGAAAAATAAATAAATCAATGGGTGTATCTCTACAAGTCATTTCAAAAGGACTCCTGCAGAGGAAAATATTATGTTAGAACCAGTCCTTTGAGAGTAATAGATGACTTTCACTTAAAAGTAATGGTTTTCACAGTATGAATTTCCCTAGGGAAACTGGGTCAGTTGTCATGTAGGCTCCCGGTGCATATCATCCACCGATCTATACCAAGATGGAAAATATTACTAGCTGGAACCTTATTGAATTGTATTTGTAGTTATCCCTGTGGAAAGCTGTGACAGTGTTTTCTTAAATGAAGAAAGTTCACTGCAACTCCCTCGCTCTAAGAGCATTTTTAATGGCAGAAAAATGTTTTTAAACGATGCCTGGGGGCGGGTCTGAGGGGGAACCTAGGCAAAAAGGGGGGGAGTGTGCAATATTCTGCTGTTAAAGTTTCTCATTCCCCTTTCCTGCTGCATTGCAGTTAGAGGTGTCAGGTCAGGACACTTGCAAAGTCAGATACCCCTGTTCAATGTTTGTAGGCAGTATCAAGGTGAAAAGCCTTGCCCAGCTCAAGTGGACCTCTTACTGCAGTTCTCCTTGTGTAGGTACCTTTCACAGGTTATGACTTATCCATCCAACCATTCCCTTGCCTGTTGCCCCAAGCCACCCACTGCACTTGCATCTCTAGAACATGGCACTAGGCTGGGGGTAGAGACCATGTTTATACCTATTATGTGCTTTACACAGGAAAAGACCAAGTTGTGCCTTGTGAGGAAGGCAGGCATTGTTTGCCAAGGAATGGGAGCGTCACATACAGAGCCAGTTTGGATATGTATTTTCATCTTGCTATCCTGTGGTTTAAGATTAAGAATCTGCATTTCAATTTACCTGGGGATTGCAGATTTATTCATTTTATGGTTTAATACTACTAGTGTTTTACAGTGGTGCCTCGCAAGACGAAAAGAATCCGTTCCGCAATTCTTTTCTTCTAGCGGTTTTTTCATCTTGCGAAGCAACCCCATTGCCGGCTAAGCGGATTAGCGCTATTAGCGATTTAGCGCTATTAGCGGCTTAGCGGGCTTAGCGGCTAAGATGTTAAAAGGCTATTAACAGCTTAGCCGCTTTGAAAAAGGGGGGGAAGCGGGGGGGGAATGGCAAGACTCGCAAGACGTTTTCGTCTTGCGAAGCAAGCCCATAGGGAACTTCGTCTTGCGAAGCACCTCCGCGACGGAAAACCCTTTCGTCTAGCGGGTTTTCCGTCTTGCGAGGCATTCGTCTTGCGGGGCACCACTGTATTAGTATTAGGGTTTTAGGGGAAAGCTAACTAGCCTGGTGTACCAGGGAAGGCTGGAAGCATTGGGGGCTGAAGAGGGTGTGTGGATCTGATGATCATTCCTGACTTGCTGAAGCTAAGGTCCGTTCAGTTCAGATTCTGAAAAGATTACTTATGTATAAAAGCATTTCTGATTTCCTTCAAGTCGCAGCCCCTCTGCTTGTCCTGATCCCTTGTGTAAGGTGCTGGGTAAGGCGCTGTCCCTGAAAGGCAGCGTTGTCCTCCATTATGCATACATAGAAGTACTCTCTACTTGAGCATGAGAAGTGAGACCAGGGAGGCGGGGAATAATTATGGCTGATTAGGACAGTGTTCTCAAAGCTACTAACATGAGTTTGACCAAACCACGGGAGGCTGTGGAAGACAGGAGTGCCTGGTGTGCTCTGGTCCATGGGTCACGAAGAGTCGGACACGACTAAATGACTAAACAACAACAATGTAATGGGAATGGGATGTATTGCAACTGGTGTGGTGTCCTAAAATGTAGCCAGTCTTAAACAGCACTAAGTAGGTGAGTGAGTTATTTATTTCTTTTATGCTATTCAGATCTATTTTTAAAGATCTGAATCAAAGTTAATCAACTAGCAAATTTAAATTAGCATATATTTAGAGAAAATACCATGAGCATTAACAGTTCACCCTCTTGGGGAAACTTTGGACTTTCTCATACAAAAGTCTTCAGGGTCTTTTGGTGTTTACGAGAGCCTTCTAACCATAGATTGCACAGGCCACTAATGATTCTGCAGAAATGAAGCCATTCTCCTTACAAGACCATTTAAGAGGAATTGTTTTTGACAATATTGTGACATTAAACCACTGCAGAAGCAGCAGCGAGTTATGGCTTGGATTCGTTCTGTTGCCCACATATTATTTTTCTGTTGTGGAAACTGAGGCATAGGGAAGTGAAAGTTCTTATCCTGCAAAGTTCTTATCTTGATAGGCTTGCTTGCAACACTGCAAAGTGACATTTAACTAGTCTCTATTGTCTGCCTTCTTCCTGTAAATATCCCTGAAAGCCATTTTACAAGCATCGTCTTTATTTAGGGCTGAATGAAACATTATGCACAAGTGCAAGCTGGGTCTAATTCAAATTGTCTTTTCCCACACTAAAAATCTTGCAAAAAAAGTGCTGTTTGAAAAAAGATCTCTCTCTCTGTGTGTGTGTGTGTGTGTGTGTGTGTGTGTGTGTGTGTTGTGTGTGTGTGTGTGAAAGAGGGGGGGATTCTTTGCAAGATTTTTAGTCTGCTCCCTCCCTCCCCAGCACAGCTGCTTTCCCCTATTACAGAGACACATCTGGAAGACTATAGTTGAGGGAAACTGCTTAGAGGAGTTTGGGAATGGAAAAGTGTCAAGTGGGGCATACATGCACACTTTTCAGTTTCATGTCACCTCCTTCGAAGTTGGTGTTCTGGTTTGGGGTTGTTTTTTTTTTTTTTTGGTTTTTTAAAGGAGCCCATGGGTTGAATTGCATCAGTTTGCTTGTAATGTCTAGTTCCGCTCATATAGCCCCTTTTTGCATTCACACACACACAAGCAGCTGCCTTGTGGGAAGGAGGAAGTTTATGCCCCTGTTTATTTTGCAAGCTCACCTTTGGGAACTACAATTCCCAAAATGCTTCATTGCCTCATTAAAGAGCTTTGCCAAGCCATAAGACACTTTTAAAGGGCCCTTGACACACATTTTGGCCTGCTGTCACACTAAAAAGGCTTGTACAAGTGCCAGAAACTTATGTCTCTTGTTTTCAGCCTCCTAGAAGAAAATAAATCTTATTAACTGGGACAAACCAGAAATGCTGGATTTACCTGTTAAAGGCGTTAGAACTGAAGAGACACAAATATTTTAAGAATCAGACAGCTGAAATTTTTTAATTGGCAATAATTACTTTTAAGGGACCTATCTAATAGGAGACAAAGGAAAAGGAGCAAATGGAAGATAAACTTCTGCAGAATAAACAGAGAAGGTGCAACAGGGTGCAAGCAGAGATAATTTTTGAAATTTTGGGGATGAACCAAGGGTTCTTGGCAAATGAATTTCATTGATTCAGGTGCTTGGTAAAGCCTGGCTTTGTAAAAACAAAGACTTTGTCTAAATATGATTATTTTTGTACTGCTGGAATTTGTTAACCAGGTTGGCATTGTTAACTCATTAATGTAACTGTAAATATGTTGTCTTTTTTTAGGGATTGTACTTGTTTTACTTTGTTTTTATTACTCTTTTTTAAATATCTTGAGTCTCTGGAAAAATAAGTGGGATAGAATTTTTGTTAAAGGTTTATTTTAGTCAGATTCCAGATGTATTCCTTACTCAAAATAGTGTTTTTAGGAGAGAAGCTATTTGGCATGTAAGAAAGCACCTTGAACACATCCCTATAATGTTTCAGTGTACTTACTTAAACCTTTATTTGTGGTCCATGTTTGGATGTTTACAGACATTTCAAAACCTTGAGACCTGGAAACTTTTCAAAACGTGAAAGCTCAAATTCTCAGACTTTGGTCCCATTTTTGCAAATTTTGCCCATTTTTAGGTCCATAACTGCCTGTTAAGCTGTCAGTCATGTTTTTGTACTAAACATTAACTTTTCTATAGATTCCTTCCTGTCCATTTTCTCTTATCTTTAGCAGCTGGGGATAGTAGTCAGGACCTCTGATGGAAAAGTAGGATTTTAGAGATTCCACGATACAATTGATTCTTCTGGTTATTTATTTATTTATGGAAATAAAACATCACTCTGACATTTCACATAATTTCCTCAACCCCTTTGACAGATTACTGTCCTCACCAGGCAGTCTCATTATGGGCACTTGAAGTTCAGGAGTGTTTTCCCTTGTTCCAAATTAGGAGCTCAACATTTAACATATTAGAAAGGAGGCTCGTTATATTAGATTCCCTGTTCCACTCAATCCACCGCTTTGGATAGTATAGTGTCAACATGGACATGTGCAGTAGTAGCAGGAACCATATACAGCACAATGAATTTTTAAAAACCTTAGGAGGTCCTCTCCACACTCCAGAAGTAATTAACTTGTTCGATTACATTGGCCCTTTTGACATTTTCTATAGTGTTTAACAAGCGGAACAATTTGCTAGCTTCTTCAAAGGTTACTTTGCAATACTTCTGCTCTCTAAAACTGTAGCTGCACTGCAGGATAGCATGGGTTTTTGTTTTTTCAGTATTTTGATCCATGGCCTTTACTTTTTCTATGTATTGTAGGTAATCAGAGATTGTGTAACATAGAGCGCACAAGAAAAAGTTTAAAAGGAGCAAGGGGAAGATTAGGGTGGGGCTGAGCAGCCACTCAACTCTGCCTGCACATAGAAACTGATGGCAAAAGCATACCCTCCAACATTTCTCCGATGAAAATAGGGATGTCCCATTCCATAGTAATAATTTATACCCCACACATCTTACTGGGTTTCCCCAGCCTCTCTGGGCAGCTTCCAACATATGTTAAAAAGACAATAAAACAGTAAACATTTAAAATATTTAAAAAAGCTTCCATCTGCAGGATTGCCTTCAGACAGCTTGGGGGGTCAGATAACTCCATACCCCAGTGAAAATAGGGGCATCCTACCACACCCTCCAACATTTATCCAATGAAAATAGGAATGTCCTAAGGAAAAGCAGGACCTTTCAGAATCAAATCAGAAACTGGGACGGCTTCTCTAAATCAGGGATGTCCCTGGAAAATAGGGACGCTTGGAGGGTCTGCAAAAGCAAGAGGCTAGAGTGTTGGACTAGGGTCTGGGATCTGAACTGGTAATGATGGACTAGTAACAAAACCTTCGGGTCATAGTAGCTCAATGCAGATGTTGACCCAGTGTGCAGCAGCTGGAACAAAAGCCAAATTTAATTATAGGGATCATTAGGAAGTTCACATAAAAAAAAATTAAAAATGCAGTTCAGAAGGGGTGGGATATTCTAACCAATTTGCAGTTGCCCCCCCTCCTCCCAGAGAAAGTGCTGGGAGGAGCAGTGATGGTGAGTCCTCTTCCCCAGCCTACTAGACGTTCCAGAAGCTATTACTAGTCTTACAGAAGTTAAAGAGAAGGCTTTAAATGTGTTGTCTCTCAAGCCCAAAAGCCAAAAAAACAACTCAGTAGCATTTAGTTATTGATTCAGCGGGTGTAGCTGTATTATTTTTTCTCCTGACAGGCCCCTTTTCAAGAGACGATGCCCAACGGTAGCATAGAAACTCTTCTTCCTAGGAATGATAAAATCTCTTCCAAAATGAACCTGTAGTGCAAACAAATGGATGTTGTTATAGGAGCTCACATCTTCACTGCACAGAAATTCCTAGGTATCCAAGAAAGTTATGGCCATTGGTTCATTTTTTAAAAAAATAAATAAATGGGGATTCTGGTTTGCTGAGCTAGTTGTTGAGCTATCCTAGAAATAAATTAACCAAAGAGCCATGCATCTGGAGTTGAGTCTTTATTGTATTTTTCTATCTTACCAGGTTTGTCGACACTACAAGCTGTACTGGACACTGCAGCTGAAAAGAAATGGCAAGTGACTGCTATAAATGTGGGCAACATTAATAATGACAGAAAAGATGAAACATACCGCTCATTGTTTCGGGATCTGGAGGTAAAAAGAGAAAGGCGAGTCATTCTCGACTGTGAACGGGATAAAGTCAACGACATTGTAGACCAGGTTTGCTCCCTTCTATTTTTTAATGCCTAACAGTGTAAGCGTATATGAAATGCTCCCATCATGATTTATCATCACAATTTATTTGTGTTGGATCCAGTGTTGGTAATAAAATTGCATTCTTTTTTGCATACTTTGGCAATGACAAGAACATTCTGATAACGCTGATGCATGGAGCAGAAAATTCAGTTCATCAGATTTTTTAAAAAATCAAATTTCTATTGTGGTTAATAAATGATCTCGGTGTTTAATGCACAGTTCTCATTTTCACAGTAACTTGGATCCAAAGGGTCCATGTATGAGCACACGGTGCTTTTGCTTACACCTGGATAGGAGGAAATTGCTGATTCCCACCCTTGGCTTTAGATCCTTGGCTGTTCTGCCAGGGGCAGAGAGCAGGAAGGGCTTAGCTGGCCTGGACTCTGCTGGTTCTAAACTGGCCCCACTGCCATCACCTGCGGGCATTGAGCCCAGTCTAGGTCCAATTATTACACCAGAGACAGGCTGGTGTGAAGGAGGGTTTTAGCTTCTCTGTGCTGTGAGTGATGGGGCTGTAGATGCAGCAGTGGCTGCCCCACTCTGTCGCTTCCCACTTCTACCTGGCTGGGATTAGAATTGCTCTGTTACTCACCTGGAGCTGAGCAGATTGAAATGCTTTTGAGCTGGAGTGGAAAGTGAATTTGTGGGCTGAAGGCTTTAGGTAGAATGCTTTGCTTCCATCATTTCTCAAAGCAAGACCTTTTCATTTTGGCACTTCATCAAAGGAAGTCCTCTATAAGACGCCTATTATGTACTTTTGACCATCAGAGAAGATTAAAAGGATGATACCTGAAATGAAACGTGGAGGCCTTGGTTTGATCAATGGTAAATTAAAAGATACTCAGTCTGATCTATACTACCTAGTTAACTTGAAGTACTTGGAGTGTTGTCTTTGTCCATGGAGTTTTCTTGGCAAGGATACTGGAGTGGCTTGCCGGTTCCTCCTCCAGGTGGATCACGTTTGGTCAAAACTCTCCACTATGACCTGTTCATCTTGTGTGCCCTGCTCGGCATAGTTCATAGCTTCTCTGAGTTCTTCAAGCCCCTTCGCCACGGCAAGGCAGTGATCCATGAAGGGGAGAGCTGGACCATGGAAGTGAGAGCTGGACCATAAAGAAGGCTGATCGCCGAAGAATTGATGCTTTTGAATTATGGTGCTGGAGAAGACTCTTGAGAGTCCCATGGACTGCAAGAAGATCAAACGCATCCATTCTTAAGGAAATCAGCCCTGAGTGCTCACTGGAAGGACAGATCATGAAGCTGAGGCTCCAGTACTTTGGCCACCTCATGAGAAGAGAAGACTCCCTGGAGAAGACACTGATGCTGGGAAAGATGGAGGGCACAAGGAGAAGGGGGCGACAGAGGACGAGATGGTTGGATATTGTTTTCGAGGTTACCAGCATGAGTTTGACCAAACTGCGGGAGGTAGTGGAGGACAGAGGTGCCTGGCGTGCTCTGGTCCATGGGGTCACGAAGAGTCGGACACGACTAAACGACTAAACAACAACAACAACTTGGAGTGTAGCCTGTTTAGCTCCGTTGACATTTATAGGACTAAATCAGGGGGGGGGGGACAGACCCCAAGTTCTTTAGCTGATTGCAGAACAGGTTGTACTTCTTCCATAACAGTAGCTGTGCTTTTTTCCCTAGGGAAGGCTAGCAGTTGGCTCATCCTCTTTTTGAGCCTGTGAATAATGCAATAATGCTTCTGTAACACAGGGCACAGAAGAGATTTCAAAGCTCAGTTGGTTAGAGTGTGGTGCTGATAACGCCAAGGTTGCAGGTTGAATCCCCGTATGGGACAGCTGCATATTCCTGTGTTGCTGAGGGTTGGACCAGATGATCCTCAGGGTCCTTTCCAATGCTACAATTCTGTGATTCTAAGACAGATATAGAATGGCTAGCCCTTGTGTTAGCACCATATATGAATAATATAGCATACATGTGGGAATTGCAGTGTCACACCCACACCATATAGTTATAACACATTACTCCCCCATGAAGAATCCTGAAAAATCCCCATCACCCTTAACAAACTACAGCTCCCAGGATTATTTGGAGGAAGCCATGTGTTTTAAATGTGCTTTAACTGTATACTGTCAATGTGACCAAAATGTTTCATTGTATCCTGGCCCAGTGCCAGGACTGCTTTTCTACTGGTCAGTCAGGCACCCTATAGGTCAGTGGCAGTCCTACATTTTGGGGGCCCTGAAGCTTGAACTATCATGGGGGCTCCTTCACAACTAGCAACAAGGTCTGGATAACCACAGTCATCTTCTTCAAGGGGGTTGTTCTATGACAGATCAGCATAATATTATTATTTTTAAAAAATTAAGTACTGGTACTACACCTCAGATTTTGCTTCAAATTGCTGTACCATGACACTACCTTTACAACATTTGTGCTTTTGGCTTTCAAACTTTGGGATTGTTGAGATATATACAACAAAAAATTTATCCGTTTGAGCTGTGTGGCTCAAATTGGGTCTACCAGACCTAATTGTTTTAAGCAACGTGGACTAAAGTTGCTTCTGGGACCCTCTAGGATTAGGGACCCTGAAGCTTAAGCTTCATTTGTTTCATAGTAGATCCACCCCCCTGGGTCAGGCTTGCTCTCTCCCAGGGGTAATATAAGTAAGGAGCTCAGTCAGGCCAATTCACTGACCCTCAACAAGGCCGCTGAGCATACTTAGTCTTCACTGGATAGTTCTTTGGGTATCGGCTGCCATTTTATACTCACATTGGAGTAAGCCCCGTTAAACTCAGCGGGTGTACACATGTATAGGAGTTACATACAGATATTTTTACTTTCAATTATTTTTAGGACTGGGCCAGAATTGCTCCCAGTTTTGCAGGGCCATTCACCACCTCGTGAATTGAAGAGGTGTTCTCTTCAGCATTCATACGAACCCTGAGAATAGGCCTTGTGGGGAGGAGGCTGGCTGGACATTTTAGAAAGTTTTGTCCAATTGGAACCTGGCATGCTGAGAGTTTTGCACTGATGCTGTTAATTGTGATTAACACTGCATTAACAACAGTAAAGATCCCACAGCCACCTTGTACAGTACTAAGGAAAGCACAGGCCTTATTGAAAACAAGCAATATATATATACATATATATATTTGGAATTCGTAATATGTCCTGCCTTATTTGAGATCGTGTTGGGTTTCCCCACCCCAGAAATGCCCTCCACAAAGCCTTCAAAAGATTCAGCCCAGAACCATATATTTTCCAGTGTAATCCATAATTAATCCCACATTATTTTATGAAGTGTTTCTTCTAGTATATGTGGCATTTCCCTAATCAGATAAGTTATATATTTCTCTTGCAGGTTATTACAATTGGCAAGCATGTAAATGGATACCACTACATCATTGCAAATTTGGTAAGTTAATTTAATACTAATAACCACAACTTAGCTCCCAGATATTAAAGTGGGGTTTGTTTGTTTGTTTGTTTGTTTGTCTGGTTTGGGGGTAATTTTATATGATATAGTTCATCGACAGACTAGATTGCTGTCTGGAAAACATCTTATAGAGCTGTTCAATAATTTGAAGTAGAGGAGGTATCCATGGATCATATCAGAATTGCGTGAAATGATCATCCCCCTATCTAACAAGCCAGTTTTCCCACTCTGCCTTGCCCATTCCTCTTACTCACCCATCTCTTCTCATATTCCTCTTCTAACCCATTTACTGTAGCCCATTATTTTCCATGTGTTTATTTCACATGGATATCAGGGATCAGGAATATGCCTGTTGGTCCTATTTCTGACATGATGCACGATGCTGCCCTTTCCCATGATATTTGTGCATTGAGTGGTTATGTCAGAGAAGGTACCATGAGCCCAAGACCCTCTTGTTCTTTTTTTATGGCTTAAATCATAAAGGGATCAATAAGGTTACTGTTACTTCTGACAGTCAAAAAATATGATGCAAAGGGCCTTCTGAACATGCATAGACTACAGGTGCTTCCTTCTCACAGCAGTTCTTCCTCACAAAAGTCTACTCCTGAAGACCAATGCATTCCCTGAATGACATAGTCTCTATTTCCCTGAGCTCTTAAAGGTGAATGACAAGGCAGACAGCCAATTAACTCTTGGAAGTCTGCAGTAATTTTTGTTGGAAAGAGAAGAAACCCTTACATGAGGAAAAGTTTTACGAGTCAAATGTGTATGTGAACCTTTTAGTGTTAATGTTTTTCTTACTAAAATATGACAGAAAAGTTGAATAACTGGCCAACTGACCAATGTGTTCAATGCCTAGGGATTTACTGATGGAGATTTATCAAAAATACAGTTTGGAGGAGCCAACGTATCAGGTTTTCAGATAGTGGACTATGATGATCCCCTGGTGTCAAAATTTATACAGCGCTGGTCAACATTGGAAGAAAAAGAATATCCAGGAGCACATACTAGTACAATCAAGGTACACTTTTGCTAATACACTTGGACTAGGGTATACTGTGGGAAAGAAGTATTCGTTGTCGTAGTTGTCACACTAATAATGAATTCTGGAAGAACAGCTTTGTGAACCTATTCTAGAAAAAAATGATAAACCTGTGGAAGATTGAAGACTAATAATTTTGATGAGGCATTAGCTCTCACAGACTAGTGCCCACTTCATCAGTTGCATGAACAACTATCCCATGTGGCAGAGTCAAAAGATAGCAGTGGTTGTGTCACATTTCTGTGAAAAATTAACTACTGTGCCCAGAATTCATATGAAATAAAAGCAATAACTTCTTCATAACAGAAGTCATTGATGAAAATAGTCTTCCTTGCTAATGTCCTAAAGCAGGTCCATTACTTTCTGTGATGCGAATGACACCCCCAGTCTTGACTGAATCAGAATTCGATAGAATTTAATTTTATATCCATGTTTCAGACTGAGGTGGTTTAATGGCCCAAGGGAAGGTATGCACTAATATGTCATATCTGTGACTTAAAATAGAAGAACCTCAACACTGTGACAAAGATGTAGTGATTAAAGGGGAAAGGAAAAAGAGAAAGACAGTATGAGCTGTGGTGGTTAGATATTAGTTGTGGTGCTTCTCGCCTGGTGCTGCTTTTAAATTTTCATATTCCGCATGTGTTCGATAGAATATTCGTTTATTGAATTCCATCGCCAGTGTGCTGCATGGCTTATGCTGGTAGCTTAAAGGCAGGTACGTAGCTGTTGCATTTCCCAGTTGCCTTCCCCCTCCTGCTTCTAGTAAGCTGCAAGTCCTACTTTCCCATCCCTCCACATTTGGCAGCCTCTGCTGTACGGAAGAGCCTTACATGAGAGGAGGAGCCTCTAAACATTATTTGTTTAGAGTTGTTGGAAGAGCTGTAGATTCTGAAAGCTGTTTGTGACAAGAGGATGAAAGTTTTGGCATTCTGTATGGCTCTTTTTCTTCCCCACTCAGTCCCGCTGTTTTAATTAGGCATTGTCTTTCCAGAAGCAGTTTCCATAACCTTCTTCTTTTTTCCTCCTCCCACCTTTGGCAGAACATTCAAAATTATTGACTCAAAATTGGTTCTGGGAAGTAGGTTCATTTTCCTACAAAAATAGAAAAATATTTCCAATGTGCATATTTAATTCAGTTTATGTAAACTGGGGCAACTTCAACACAGAACTTGGATGAAAAGGAGTGCAGAGCATATTTATGAAATGCTAGCAACGGAGACTGCTTATTTATTTATGACGTTTCTATGTTGCTCCAAAGCACAGAGATCTCTGGGCAGCTTACAACAAATAAATTAATTTAAAAAGCCATTGCAATACAAAATTAAAAATAAAACTCCAACATCATAAATGGCATAAATACAGTTTTAAAAAACCCAACCCCAAAACACATCATACCCCAAAGTTGAAAAAGATATTAAAAACCTGAGGTGCCCAGACTGCAGGAGTTGTAAAAGCTTTGGTGGCCACAAAGGTATTCACCTGAAGCTGAAAAGACCACAAAGATCAAATCAGACAAGAAGTCTTAGGAAATCTGTTCCATAACCAGGTTGACCAGGTGGTTATCTGCCTCAACTCGAACAGCAAGTCTACTCAGAGCACGACTTGCTCCACCTTGATATCCCCAGTTACTAAAGCTCAGTAAAAACTATACCTTTCAAGAATATTTCATCACCAAAAGAATTCTGGGCACTGCAGTTTACGCCTCACAGAATTACAGTTACCAGCAACCCATAACACACTACAGTTCCCAGAATTCTTTGAGGGGAGAAATGTGCTTTGAATGTGCATTAAATATATAGTGTGTACAGAGAAGCAGAAATATGACAGCCTCACCCCAGTACCAAAGTACAGCTCCAGAAATATTTTGCAATTCAGACTCGTCGTTTGATAGCAATCACTACTTGTCCTCAAGTTGCCTCCAGTTCCCCTTCAGTACATTTCCACAAGGAAACACACAAGGCCACTTTCTGTTGTGAGCATGATAAGCAATAGAATATGACTGACATAAATCAGTATGTCATATTACAACACAAGGATGTGAGATATAGTACTAAATGGAAAGAGACATTTCCAACCCAATTCACACCCTCAAAAAAATGCATTTTAAAGGGAGTATTGTTTATTTATTTAGAACAATCTTCAGAGTTTGCTTCTAACATTATATTTTTCAGGATTCAAACCACCACCACCCCCCCTTTGATTTCTTAAAACATTGGTGGGAAAAGGAATGAAAGTCCTGCAGACTCTGTCCCTTGCGCTATAGTAATTTATTTCTATTGTTGTAGATGAGAGGGGGGGGTCCATTGATTTTCAGTCTGCCATCTCACAGGTCCCAGTCTGCACAATCTTCTGCTCTGCCTATGCAGAGAGATTGGTAAGTGGCCTGCACAGAACGAACCAGTGATGGTGCAGGTCACCATATGATGGCACATCGCTTTACTACTACAGCATAGTTTGGGCTCCCTTTGATTACTAAAGCCCAAAAAGTCTGAAAGACCAAGTTCTTCCCTACAGACCCTCTCAGCAGAGGTTGCCCTCTTGGTAATGCTACCACCCTCAGAGTGTGGGGGGCTGGGGGAGTGAGCCAGGAAATGGCATTTTCTGTGGCAGCCCCTATGTTGCTGTTGCTATTTATTAACTGTATTGGTTGCTCTTCTTTGCAAGGTAACTCAAAGCAAGTTGCAATATATAAACAGACTCATTCTTTAAAACTGGCATAAAAGAAAACAAAAATCTTAAAGACAAAGCTATTTTTAAAAGGCAGGATTTAAAAACTCCACCCACACAAGGAGGCCACAGATAATTATAGATTAATTATAGAATTGTATAAGTTGTAGAATTCCCTCTCACACAGAGGTGGGTCTGCCACCTTTGTTGTACAGTGATCTACGATATCCTTCTGAGTCAACCACAGATTTTCTGTCTCTGAATATAAGAGATAAGGCAGCACAAGTAAAGCACTTTTTTCCCTGGATAATGTGACTGAAAAGCCAGTTGCCAGAATGCCATCTCCTTTGAAATAAGGCGAGCTGTTAAAATGGAGAACTTCAGCTCTCTGCTTGTCAATAGATTTCTGTTTCAGTGGAGGCATTTTTAACACAGCCTAACAGTAATCATGGTGGGAACCAGATGTTCCAAGCAGTTTACATTAATTTAAAAGCAATTTTGTTATAGTGCATGGTTGCTTCGGGTTGCTGTTGGTTTTTTTTTGCTCTACTGCAATCTTAAGGTTACCTGAAGGCAGCATTTATTTAAGGTAGGATGTAAGGTAGCATTTATTTTGTCAGCATGTGTGATTTAGAACCCTCTTCAATCACAAGAATATGTCAGAGGCAGAAAGGGAAGCAGGGATGGTTCAGCTTCCTCTGAGACAAGCAAAATAAATTTCAAAGAATTGCCTGTAAAATGCTTTAAGAAAGGGTTAGAGAGGCGAGGATGATTGTGACATCATATCCTTTCCCTTCTTTCCTTCCATTGATACTTTTTACCAGTATTGCTACTTCTTGCCTCTTAGGAATGCAGACAAGGCTCATTCACACTTTTAATAAGGCCACTACTTCTGACTCTTTTCTCCAGAATTTCTCAGACTAGTTTTATGCCTCCCCTCCCCAGTTATTGCCTTTTTCTTCCACTGGACATGCCATGTAAACTAGCAGTATGATAATATTATGCTTATTGATGGAAGTGGTATCAGATCTGTTTGCCCCCCCCCCCTTGCCCCATGTTTGACTTTTACATCTGTGGAAAGGTTGTGCTGCCCTCCATTTTACAACCATGACCAAATGTTACTTAGGTACGACATCAACGTCAGTGTAATGGTTTTTCGGATGCCACTTCTCAGGGTAAAGCAACACACCTGCAGTGTCCTGATGCATTTGAAAACTTTCTTCCATAGATTTAATTTGCTATCTGTGTGAGTTTTGGAATGAAAGTAGTGGGATTTGAGTTTGGACCTGGCCAGCCAGAAAAAGATGGAAAGATGGAAAGGGTGTTTGAAAATGAGGAAGGGATTGGTTCTGCAATGAGGAAGGGCAAATAAAGTTTGGAAGCTGCATATTTCAGGGAATCAAATTCTTGGAAAGATGTGGGGGGATTGTCTGGCTTCTCATCTTTGCTCCCAGTGGGTGTCTGGCAACATTTTGTATGATCTTAAACTCCTTAATTAATTATTTTCTCTTCTGGAACAATTTGAACTCAACCTCCCCACTGCTGTTTGTTTTGTTTTGGGTTGTGAAACTGACTATATTAATAGAGCAGGGCAAGGCGGGCAGGGAGGATTTCTCCTGATCAGGCATAGGACTTACACAGCCTGATCAGACACATGTTCCCTAAGTGGTAAAGCTGCCTTGGCCCATCCCATGGTCTTATTTCTCTTCCCTCTTTGGTGCTTGCAGCAGAGCCTGGAAATGACTACAGTAGCAAATACCCTCCCTTCCACGTCTGTCCAGGACTGTGCAGACAGTGGCACCTGTGGGGGGTGGATAGCCAGTCAATCTCTTCCATATCCTCCCCTGGGCTGTGTTACATTCTCCCTGTGTCCACCCCACACACCCCTGAAGTGATGCTGAGATTGCTCTACCCCTTCCTGCCCCAAGCAGGGGCTGTAATTTCCAATGCCTTTAATTTATATGCTCCTTCTTAGATGCATGCCCATGCTTAGGTTGAAGCAAATGCTAGTGCAAATCTGTTTTGAGCATGTGGTCCTTCAGGCCTCTCTATGTGGCCCTTGGGACTTTCTACAGACCACACCAATCCTTCTCCTTGATTGCTTTTGCCTGGCTGGAATGGGTCTGTGAACTGTGAACATGTCTCTTGCTTCCCTGGGTGGAGGGGGTGTGTGGTCTGTGTGGTTTGTGTGTGTATAGAAACTTTGGGCTTTTGCATAGCTGGAATGTAACCAGCCAAAATGTAGTTCAGTGATAAGAGTCCTATCCATTCTATAATGTTCTGCCATTGAGCTATGATGTGCACGAAATGATTTTGGAGAAGTGGGTTATGTGTTTAAAGTGTGACCTTTCTCCTTCTTTTCAAAAACACAATTTAAAGCCACAAGCTTTGACAGCAGCTTAGGAGGTGTGGTGGCATCACCACACCTACGACCACGTCTGCTGTTGCATCACAGAACACTTGGGGGAATGACATGAACTACAACTACTTGGCAAGAAGGCTAGAAACAGCTCAATTTTATTAAAGACACAGACGAACCAGTATGTTGAACCTTAGTTCAAGCGAATGGGCAAGAGCATCTTCTACTTTTGCAGCTCTGCTAATATTCTATTTCTATGCAGATGCATTTAGGGTTTTGAGAAAATTGGATAAGACACTACGAGATCTACTTGGGCAATTAGGAAATGATAGGAAAGAGCAACTGCAAGATAAATCTAGAGCCTTGTGCTACACTTTTTAATACTGACACTTTGTTCTTGAATCATTAATCAGTGTATACAGGGATGAAAATATTACATCCATATACTTAACTTTGTATAAAGGTCACAGGCCTAGAAAATAAACCACCCTACTGTTTTGTAATTAATACTAGCTAGGAGTACGCGTCATAAACCATTTTATATTTGCCTCAAGACTGCAGTCATTTCAGGGCATATATAAGTGATTACAGTAGCAGCAGGAGAAATTGCCTATCTCAGCAGTGTGCTCTAGCATAATTTAGTTACTGACTAGTCTCCGAGCAAGCAACGCTAAATCATTTCAGCAAAAGATTAAATTTGGAAAATTTTGATCTATACTGTACTCCATACATGATCAGTGAATACGTGATCAAGAGAGAAGGGCAGATGGCAGCCGTAAATGCTTCTGAGCACACAAGCACCCCATTGCGTTACAGTGCCGGCTTTGCTTTTCTGGAGAGAAAAGGAAGTCGTTCAAAGTAGATAGTTCACCCCTCTGTGGGGGTGTCTAAGATAGATACTCAAGTGGGGAATTTTTTTCACCATGGGATACATTTCACCTGAAATGTATCATCTCATCCACAGGAGTCTTCTGACCCACGTCCTTTCTGTTTAAGGTGAAAGGATAAACAGATGTTCACCATTCATGCTACTGCTGGCTTCCAATACTAGCAGAAGTTGATGCAGTGACAGGAGTCTGGTAGCCTGAAAATGACAAGGAACAAGTTTATACAAGGAAAAGGCATTTGCTGGCATGATGCCTGAACCAGCTTAAGATCAAGTGCCATAATAAAACCTTGCCATAGCTTTTAGGGGATTTTTGTGCAAACTGATGAAGCAAACGCCCTGTACATGTTCCCAGTAGTATTCACTGTTGGCTGTTTGTATTACAACTAGATTTTTTACAGTTAATCTTCAAACTGCACTAAAGGTTGGCATCTCGTTATTGGCCCTGAAACACAAACTCCTCTCCAAGTATTAGATGCAGACTTTACAAAACTCTTGAGAATTCTCTCCTGGGAGCTTTTAAGTAGGGAAAGTGAACTTGTATATTCTGTTATAATAAAAACTATAGGAAGGCCAGTTTCACTAAATCATTGTCTTATTAGGCGCGCTGTAAGTGTGGCAAAACATTTCTGTTATTACAAGAAAAAATATCCAAATGATGGCACTCTTTAAATCTTTATGAGGTGCAGAAAATTGAAGTATCTGTGTGAACAAGATTTTCATGCTTCCAGCTGTTGAACAACTGCTGCAAGGTTCTAAAGAATTAATTTCAAATCCTAACTTTCTACAGATTATGGTTAGGAACACTGGGCTTTACAGTACATTATACTTTACATTATGCTGAGTCTATCCTCTTATCTCAGTGGTTCTCAACCTTGGGTCCCCAGATGTTTTTGACCTACAACTCCCATGATCCCTAGCTCACAGGACCAGTGGTCAGGGATGATGGGAGTTGTAGGCCAAAAACATCTGGGGACCCAAGGTTGAGAAAGGCTGTAGACTTAGCTCAACATCGGGGGTTGCCAAAGTGGCGCTGTCCAGATGTTGTGGACTCCATCTCCCATCATCCCTTATCCTGGCTGAGGCTGATGAGAGTTCACCATGCCTAGGACTGGGCTGCCAAGTCCTCTCCTTTGATACCAAAGCTGGAGGGTAGATAAAGCTTGTTGCAGGCATGTTGCACAGTGCCTACTACTGTTGACTCTAGGACTCAGGGACTTTCCGGTGTGATTTTCTCAGGGAGCTGCTGGCAGCTGCTACTCCCCTTGTCATTACTCATGGGGTTAGATTAGCTAGAACTGTATGCTGAACTGTCAACCTCATCACCACTAGGAGAACTCTCAACCTTAAGGGCTGGCAATGAAAGATAGGGTATGGGAGCTGTTCTGCTTTGCTGTAGGGACCAACTTTTGCTCATCCCCACCCCATTGTGTACAACCGCTGTAATTTTGGCTACATGAGTGATGCTACTTGGAGCACTGAATCATAATTAGCATAAAGGATGGGCTTACCAATGAGGTAACCTCCAGATGTTGATGGACTCTCTCAACAGCATGACCAATGACAGCATCTGGATGGCTGCAGGTTCTTCACCCTCAGCAGCTCCCCCAGTGTTGGGTAATGATAAGAAATATGCACTGAACTAAATCAGTTGTATGCATTGTGGAAAAATATAACCTCAAAGGGTGTTGAAATGATCTTTACTTTCCTTCCTTCTCTTTTAATGGATGCAATCAGTTACAAATAAGTACTGAAGGCTAGTTTCCTTAACTTGTGCTTAATGAATTATATTTGCTCCTTTTCAGTACACATCAGCTCTGACCTATGATGCTGTCAAAGTGATGACTGAAGCTTTCCGTAACTTGCGTAAACAAAGGATTGAGATTACCAGAAGAGGAAATGCTGGAGACTGTCTTGCAAACCCAGCAGTGCCTTGGTCACATGGTGTAGAAATAGAAAGGGCACTGAAGCAGGTATTGTGGAATTACTGTGTATTAAATGACCTCTGGATGTCTTCAACATTAAAAATAAAAATAAAGGAAGACCAGTCAACCTGTGTATCCAACACTTCTGCGAGGACTTCTCAGCAATGCAGAAAATGACAATTATCTGTAGAACGGTCCTCAGCACAAATAAAAATTCAGTTGATATGAAATGTATTTTGTGGACAAATCAGTTTAACTTTACCATCCTTTCCATCCTTATTTCACATAGGTTCAGGTGGAAGGGCTATCAGGAAACATAAAGTTTGATCAGAATGGAAAGAGAATTAACTATACAATAAATGTCATGGAACTCAAAAGTACCGGTCCCCGGAAGGTAATTTTGGTTCTGCCTGCTTTTTGTTGTTTCCTGCTAAGTGTTATTTAAAAAAGGAGGTATCTTAATGCTGAACATACGGATATAATGCAATTAAATGCCTATCTGTAGAGATATACAGTGGCGTAGCGTGGGGGGTGCAGGGGGGGCCAGCCGCACCGGGCGCAACATCTGGGGGTTAGGGTTAGGGGGCGCAAATCCATGGGTTAGGGGGCGCAAATCCATGGGTTAGGGGGCGCAAATTATTTGCCTTGCCCTGGGTGCTGACAACCCATGCTACGCCACTGGAGATATAAAAAGTTTTTTCAAAAAAAATGTAACAAAGATAATAATTTAAGGTAAGTAGAGTCTTTCAGTATAGTTTATGTTATTTTACTTTACATCTTTCATGTTTACGCTTAAAAGTAAGAGGGAGTACTTGTGGTAAAATTTATCTTTTAAAAAGATAATGAACTCTCTGAAAGGGGTAGAATTTTCTGAATTTTTTATCCTGAAATGTAACCAGGGTCTGGTTTGCATACCTTGGGAAGTCATTTAGTAAACAATAGAAAATTATTGCTTACTGCAAATGAGCAGCATGCTGGTTCGCATGTCTCAGTCATATGCCCTTTGTTCTTTTCCTACTCTTCCTTGTCCAAAGCCGAGAGGACACTAACTGGAGCGTTAAGTGTGGACCATTTTTGTGGTTTCCTTCTCTCCAAAGAGACCTCAATAAGAAGCCAGCTTATTTTGTTTCTTTAGCGGTAGGGGACACCGTGGATGCTAGTTCACATGTAAACACAAAGCCAGCCCTGTGATTTGTTTCATCCCAGCTGGGGATAAGTAAGAGTGGAAAAGGAACAAAGCAGGCATGATTGAGCTGTACCTACCATGTTAAATCATAGTGCATTTTAAACTATGACTTACCTTTAAACTATGGATCAATGTGGGAATGAGGAATTGCTTTTATGTTCAAGGGACTTCTGAATTTAAAAAAAAAAAGCAGCTATTATTAGTTCTTGATTACAGCTTTAGGCAGGAATTGGGTATGTGAATGCAATTTATCAAAAATCATGCTTCTAAACAAAAATATGCATTTGTTTGCCCTGAATGCAACCTGCAACTTTTTTTCAGATTGGATACTGGAGTGAAGTGGACAGAATGGTTGTGAATCCAATTGAATGTCCATCTTGCAATGAATCCTCGGGATTAGAGAATAAGACTATTATTGTCACAACTATTTTGGTAATTAAACACGTTTTTTGTGAAATGGATAGTCTAAATTGCAACCTTATCATTCATTCTTGGTCTATATTGGAATAAGTCATGTCTAGCTGACTTTATTCCTGTGTATTTGTGAAAGGTGGAGGAACAAGAGGAAAGTGTTGGGTGCCATTTGCCTGTTGCTGCAGAATTGTTTGGAGGATTTTGAAACATGCCTTTGCATTTATTTATTTATTTATTTATTTATTTATTTATTTATTCATTCATTCATTCATTCATTCATTTAAATAGCAGGATTTGTAGTGGATAAGCTTTTTTTTTTAAAAAAAATGAAACTAAAAATTTCAAGGGAACCAATTTCAAGGAAGCATTATTCTGTTGTAGCAGGACTCTGTGCTTTGATTTTGTGCTAAAATTGTAACACGATAGAGGTTGTTAAGCCAGGAACAAATGCAAAGCTCTTTCTCTCTAGTCACTTTCAATCCACTAAGCAAAAGAATGTGACATTTTCCCTTATCACTTTAAAATAGCAAAATCATATACAGTCATATAGTATAAATGCCAATGTTGTTTACTTAGTAAGCTAATCATTGTTCAGAGTTGTTCATTCAAAGCTTAACTGTTCTGGATTATATATTAAAGGAACCAACAATTTGTCAACTTTTGATGGTGGTAAGATTATTTTTTAAAAAACAGCTATATTTATTGTAAGTTTTATATGATCAGTTGTGGGTCTGGTGGTAACAGAGGTGTGAAATACTATGGAATAAGCAGGAATGATCCAATGCAGCTCTCTTTTTTAGAAGGCTAACTAAATAAAAAGTTTTAAAACTCTTTCTTTACTTGTCAACATACAGTTTATTAATGCTGATGAGAATTATGAATACACCTTTGAAAACGCCTCTCTGCCTGTAAGGCTTGCTGCAACTGTGAAGAAATGTTATTGTGATGGTGGATAAATAAACAATCCTGAATGTTTCAGGGGGGAAATACAGGTTTTTAAAAATTGTTTTATTCAATGTACTTCCAACCCTGTACACGAAGAATAGATAACTAACATGGCATCCTTTTTTGATTAGCTAAAGCCAAGTTTCTCTGTACAGGAATCCCCCTATGTTATGAAGAAAAAAAATTTTGAATTGCTTGACGGAAATGATGCCTATGAGGGCTACTGTGTGGACTTAGCTGCAGAAATTGCCAAACACTGTGGGTTCAAGTACAAACTCACAATTGTTGGGGATCGCAAGTATGGGGCCAGGGATGCAGAAACAAAAATCTGGAATGGAATGGTTGGAGAACTTGTTTATGGGGTAAGAGACGTTTTTAACCATTGCAAGTAGCTATGACTAAAGGAGATCAGGTTAGCGCATGTTGGTATCCCAGCTGTTTGCGTGGATCCAAGTGAGACTTAAATGGGCGTTTGAAAAGAGGTCAATATCTCTGCATTTCATCACCTTTTCCTCCAAATCAAAACTTCTGTGTGCTCAAATGTCCTAAAAATTCAGGGGCTGTGGCCTGCCAATGTTGTTTGGTGTGTGATTATAAAGAGGTATCATTTGCATGATAAAAGTGAAGCCACGTGGTACTGTGTACGTCAGGAAGTAGACTATTGTAGGCAGATTGCTTAGTAGTTTATTCCTCAGTAGGATGCTAGAATTGAAATTAGTATTACCCGTGTCCCTGCTGTTGCATTCTTCATCTGCGATGCACAAAAGCAATAAAGCCGTTCCCTTGTTAAATATTGAATAAGTTATTATTTTGTTTTGCTTCCATTACAGAAAGCCGATATTGCAATTGCTCCATTAACTATAACGTTGGTGAGAGAAGAAGTGATTGACTTCTCAAAGCCCTTTATGAGCCTTGGTATATCTATAATGATCAAGAAGCCTCAGAAGTCCAAGCCAGGAGTATTTTCCTTTCTTGATCCCTTAGCGTATGAGATCTGGATGTGCATAGTTTTTGCCTACATTGGGGTCAGTGTTGTTTTATTCCTGGTCAGCAGATTTAGCCCATACGAGTGGCACACTGAGGAGTTTGAAGATGGAAGACCATCGCAAAGTAACGAATCAACTAATGAATTTGGGATATTTAATAGTCTCTGGTTTTCCTTGGGTGCCTTTATGCAGCAAGGATGCGATATTTCGCCAAGGTTGGTTACACACCCATTTCAGCTTTGTGCATTTTGGGTCTCACTCCGGAAGTTCATGGTGCATATAGATTCAATCTCAAGAAATGCCAGCTGTTGACATGTTTTTCAAAATCATCCACAGCCCTTTAGATGGAAACAACTTCTCCCGATGCAGGCCAGTGGGCTGTTCAATTGGTTTCCTCCGAGCATCGGTCCTGCCTTGCCCTAGTGGACTTATATGCACCATGCAGAGGCCATAAAATGCACGAGGTCCCCCTCATTCCATGCCTTCTTGGAGGGGTACCGTGTTTTTGCTGCATATTCCCATTCACAGCCAACGGTGCATTGATTTCACAGATGCTGTAATGGGAAAAAGGGTAACACACAATTAATGAGCTGTGGAAGGAGTGCTTTCCCCTCCACAAGCCATTTTGCACGGCATCCTGCCTATTGCTTAAACTCCCCGTCTTCTTCAGGAAAATCACTGGAATAGAAAATAGAAAGGTATTCTGATAACTCAATAGTCATGTGAACCAGGTACAACAAACTTGGCAAGAGTGGGTAGTTAGGTTATCCTGGAGAGCGAGAAAATCTGGGGTGATTTGTTTTGTTTTGTTTTCACTTTTAGAAAGTTATATTCTGATCTTGGTATTTGGTTTTAAGCCATGAGTAACTACAGCTCAAATTATAATTTATTATGCCCATGCTTTTTTTATATGTTTCTTTTGTAGTGTTATCAGCTATTCCATTACCCTTCTGCAGCCTAAGCTCAACAGCTCTGTTGGGCACCTGTTGATGCATCATGTTGAGTATGTGAACTGTATCAAAGCTGAAATTCATTTAGCACTTGGCCCAGAGGGTGGCAAGTTTGGGCATTGGCTAGGGTTCAACAGAGGACTCAACCATCATAGCAGTGCTACCATTTTCACTTTTTTATAGTGTATTTCAAAAAAGATCAGAAATAAAATTCTCAGTTGCATGTCCCCATCACATGTTCCAGGTTAGCACCCCGCTTGATCACAGACTTCTAAATTCTGGGGCCAGTAATGAATTCATTCAGGAAATGGAAGTAAGAATGCATTGCTTAGCAAGCAACTTACTGGTGTCTGATATTTAGGACATCTTAGTATATCTGTTGTAGAGGAATCTGGCTTTCTCCCTTTCAATATCCATATTTGGAAAAGTGAATTTTAGAGAATGTTATAAATAACCCAACTTTTAACACAGGTTTTGCTTATTTAGAAAACTAGACCAGGAGTTAAACCAGTATCTTTTAATAGATACTCTAAATCCTAACTGAAAAGCAAATTAAAATTTCATAAATATTAATGCCTGACAAAGTAGACACTGAAAGGTTTGGGAAGATCGTGAAATGAGAGATCAGCTGCAAAACAATTTGCAGTATATGCCACCTTGAAGCTAAATATGCAGGTTAGAGCATAGGTCTAATTAATATGATAAAACAGATCTGGCCAAGTCAAAAATTTAAAACTTTGCATTTATATAGCATGTTGTCTTACTGTAATGTACACAACAACATGTAAGGCCAGCCAATATTTGTGATACTCAAATTACAGATGGGGAGAGAGGCTGAAAGAGAGAGAGCCTTGCCTAAAGCCAACAAGTGAGTTCATGGCATAAATTTTTAAAGGGGATTTTTTTTAATGATTCAGAACGCAGTCTCTTAGCAATTATGTTACAGTAGCTCTCTATATTCAAATTTATGACTGACCTAGACAAGACAGAACATTGCCTTCAGGGGAGAGGCGTGCTAGCATCCATTTCTGGTTGTTAAAACAAGCATATTACGAGTTTGCTGACTCCAATGTGCTTGAGTGGCAATAAAATGAACTTTATAATTTTAAGTAGTCCCAAAGGGTGTCAGTCAAAGAATTAAGAACTATGTATATAAAAATATTTCCTTTTTTATTTTCTGAAAAGTGATATAAGTACACCAGGAAAGGAAAAGGTTGTTATGCTCACTTGAATGCTGCTGAAAAGCTCTCTCTCTCATGTCAGTGCTCCAAGCTGAAGCAGTAACATCTAAAAGCTTCTTAGGATGCAATCCTGTACCCGTGGAGCCACAGTGAATTCAATGTGCCCCTGAGTTGGCATGCTGATGTTTGTGCTGGCAATGCACAAGATGCTGCCCTGAGGATCCAGCACACATTATGGCAAATATGAATAGTAAAGATCTTCTGCTTAGAGTGTTGCTTGTAAGAAAGAGCTTCCAACTGGCAGCCACATGGGATTGCAAGATATTTGGCCACATTCCCGATTTTTGCCAAATCATTTCAATGGGAGCCTCCTAGTAGGGCTTTCCCCTCTGCAGGATACATGCATGCATAAATCATTTTATTTGTATGTTGCTTTTCCATAGTTAACAGGGGTCAGCAAACTTTTTCAGCAGGGGGCCAGTCCACTGTCCCTCAGACCTTGTGGGGGGCCGGACTATATTTTGAAAACAAAAATGAACGAATTCCTATGCCCCACAAATAACCTAGAGATGCATTTTAAATAAAAGCATACATTCTACTCATGTAAAAACACACTGGTTCTGAGACCATCCGCAGGCTAGATTTAGAAGGCAGTTGGGCCAGATCTTAGTTTGCCTACCCATAGTTAAAACCATGCTCAAGGCAGCTTACAACATGAAAAGAAATGCATAATTACAAACGTAACAAAAGTAGTCATAAACAGTAAGTGAAACATCAAAAAGTACACAACCAAATTGAACAATTTCCTCATAAATCATAACAAAAAATTAATAACAGCAACATCTCTGCCTGCTCATCTTCCGCCCCGCCTCCCAAAAAAAACCCCTAAACAAAACTCCTGGCCCCAGAATGAAACATTAATATTAATCAGAAAATGCAAGACTTCCAAAGAAAGTTTTACACATTTTTAAAGTGATGTCACAATAGGCCATGTTGCTAGCAGCTCTTCCGAAACACTTAGAAAGGTGAATCAAGGGTTGTTCTGTTGCTTATATATTGTCTTGTATTTCTGTAAGGACTTAGATTATTATTTTGATTGTCAGTTGTTCATGTACATTTTATTTTTGAGCAATTCACATAAGTATGAATGCAGTGCATGGCAGTAATTGTTTGAAAAGCTAAACTTAAATGTGAATGGTGTGGTCCCCAAATTAGGCTTCCCAGTCCAACAATTCTCTTGCTTCTTGTGGTATATGTTTGATTGTTCAATTGCATCTGCCCTTCCTGCTGGGATTTTCTAAAGGAGTGCAATGGAGAGCATATGGGACTTTGTACCAAGGCCATTCCTTCTTATTTTATTCAGTCAAAATATAGGTTATACCACTGAATCCATTGCAGCTGAAACTGTTGATTTTTACATAGTAGACATGATCTGGTGGAAATGGGAAAACTTAGACCCAAAAGCCTATAATTGATCTTGCCTGACTTTCTTGTATATGTGCTTGAGCTGTCACAAAAAAAATCACCTGAGTTATCACGAAAACCTTACTTTTTAAAATATGGCTATAATGTTATCTAAGCAGCTTTCTTTTCCAGGGTCCTCCAACCAGTGAAGGACTGATGAGCTAGTCTTTGCTTCCATACATTATCTCAAGACGGAGTCCTGAATTTAGTGACACCACTTGAGCCGAGTAAAATTATCCTAGCAAAACTATAGTATGTTTTTAATTTCCCATTTCAGTAGCATGCATTGAAACTGAGAGGAGAGAAAAAACACACTTAAGGTAGCAAGGAAAAACCAACATTTCCCTGCGTTACACAACGCAGCATATACATAAACCTGGTGACTTGTATTCCTTTCAGGACATTCATTTCATTTTACAAATCCATTTCATACTTGTTATTAGATCCCTGTCTGGGCGCATTGTTGGAGGTGTGTGGTGGTTCTTTACCCTGATCATAATCTCATCCTACACGGCTAACCTAGCTGCCTTCCTGACGGTAGAGAGGATGGTATCTCCCATTGAGAGTGCCGAGGATTTGTCTAAACAATCAGAAATCGCTTATGGGACCTTAGACTCCGGCTCAACAAAAGAATTCTTTAGGGTAAGAGTCATCTTTTGGTCTGAAATATTAAAGGTTTCCCCCCTCCTTCTCTGCACTTTCCTGAAATTAAGTAATAAATAAGATCCATTCTTGGTGTTGTGATTTAATAATTCAATGCATGTTCTAAATGAGTGCCAACTAGTATTTCGGGTGCCAAATGTAACTCCCTGCAGAGCTGAAATAAAGAGGACAGCTCACTTGCATTTAATATAAGCCATGACTTCCTTAAATATAGCGGCTTAGTCATGCTGGCCACATGACCCGGAAGCTGTACACCGGCTCCCTTGGCCAATAAAGCGAGATGAGTGCCACAACCCTAGAGTCGTCCGCGACTGGACCTAATGGTCAGGGGTCCCTTTACCTTTACCTAACAGGTGTGGAAAGTATGAAGGAGAAATTGTACATCTCCACCATGTTATGTGGGTTTCAACAACAATGGCAGCAGAAGGAAACGTGTATGTAGGTTTCAGATCTGTAATGTTTGCATTTTGTTTATAATCTGTTGTTGTTTGAAAGTAATAAATAAATGCAATAGCCAAAGTCTAGCTTTAAAATATCTCAGAAATATCTAATGTATGCATACATACATACAGTGGTACCTCGGGTTAAGTACTTAATTCATTCCGGAGGTCTGTTCCTAACCTGAAACTGTTCTTAACCTGAAGCCCCACTTTAGCTAATGGGGCCTCCCACTGCTGCCGCGCTGCTGGAGCACGATTTCTGTTCTCATCCTGAAGCAAAGTTCTTAACCCGAGGTACTATTTCTGGGTTAGCAGAGTCTGTAACCTGAAGCGTATGTAACCTGAAGCGTATGTAACCCGAGGTACCACTGTACTCTTACTTTACACAGTTTGTAACATTGATGCATGGTTTGTTTGTTTTTAATCACATTGATGGCTATTAGAAGACTTTGGGGCCTTCATCCAGTTCAGACTTCAAACCTACTTCACGGCTGAAGTTCTACTGCATGCGCTCGCAACTCAAATTTTAGTACAGTTTTGAGTTATTTCTGTAAATGACATGCTAATTATAGAATCTCATTTTGAGAATAATAGATCGTAGTAAGACAAAATGGGAACGTTATCTGATGGCCAACTAGATATGTAGATTGCTAATTAATTTGACAAATCCTTCATAATTGAAATTCTTAATTGAGTGTCTCTAGGAAAGAGCACTCTTTAATGAAAACAGCATAATGAATATAAATGGAGCACACTGCTAAAACAGATTGATTTATGGTCTTTGCAGCCCCAAAGCTAGAAAGCTGTAATAGAAGTGGGATAAACCCTTGGTTACTGTCCGGAAGCTTTGTCTGGAGTGAATGTGGGGAACCACAGAGGAAATTACTGGCAACGTATTACTTCGTTGTTTGATGCTTCACAATCTATCCAATTGTCAGTTCAATTATTTCAATTCATAAACTGCCTATTCTCCTGTGCTTTACTGTAAATTCTAATACATAGGGGAGCTCCTTCTAGAAGCCATAGTTTGTGGGGGAAATTCCAATGATCAGTTGTGTAAGATTTTGCCATGGGCATGTTACTGACTCAGTACTACAAGATGCAATGATGGCCACCAACTTGGTTGAAGTTAAAAGGGTTTAGCCAAATTCATAGAGGACAATGCTATAAAGTTTTATGGTTCCCCTTTCCCCGAAACATACTCCTGCAAGATGATGGGGGAAGCCAGTAATGAGGTACTTTAACAGCAGCAGAGGTGGGCAAGGAAGTTTAATAGGCTCATTTTAAAGACCTAGGCACTCATACAATGTCCATCACTACCAGACAAGGTCCATTGTCTTTCCAAGTCAGTGCCAAGAGGCATTGGGAAATATAACTTCAAGTCTTCCTGGAATTAAGAATAGTCTGTGCACATCAAGCACAAGACTGTTGCTATAGGGCTTGCTTCCACTGCTGGCGATCCCCCTTTTCCCATTGCAATAATAAGTTTGAAGAAAGCTGGGCAGAGCTGGCTGTCAGAGAGGAGGACTAGGAGCAGGCAAGACCAATCTTTCCAAGACATTTGGACTTTGTTTATATTGAGAGGAGGGTTTTGAACTGCAGTGGTTTTTTTTTCTGAACCTGTTCCCACACCACACATTCCATTCATTTAAGCATGTCTGGCATTCAGTTTCTTGCAGATGTCTGCTCAGAAGTATATCATAGTTAGTTCCATGGAGTTTACTCCCAGGTAATATAGGAATGTAGCCTTAATGATCCAAATTGGCCTAGACCTGTTTGCATTCCAATCTGGCCCATGTGAAGAGGAGGAAGAGAACACTTAACTCTTTGCATCTATTCAGTGAGCCCCCCCCCCCTTAGGATGTCCCCACATGGCTATCTGTTTGAATGTAGCTTTTGCATGATAAATGCAACTCATTTCTTGCAACTTGTCTCCTCAATGTGCTAAACCTCCATGCAATTTTGGTATACGTGCCATGGCTTTTAGGTGTACTGTATAGGCCATGGTAGACTCAATAGGGAAGAGGTTTTCTCTGATCCGATTAAGCCTTACTATTCTACTCCTTGAAACAATGAAGTGTCTTATAGCACCTTAAAGATACCTTGAAGCCATCTGACATCTGCCAGGGACATATGTTTCAGTTTAGCCAATTGGAATCATCTGCCGAGGACAAATGTTGCATTTTAGCCCTTTAAAATAAGCATTCACAAAGCCTTAGGGGAATATTAAACTCTAGTGTAACATCCTAGGATAAAACCAATTGAAGAATTACCAGCACAATTTATCCTTAAGTAAAATTCAAAACAAATTTGGGACATTCAGGGAAAAATCTGAGAAAATTTGATAACTATGCAAGATTTCCCTCCCAGAAACAATTGTCTATGACATTACATGCATGTGTTCATGTGCTGTAGACATAAAGTCAATAGTTCTCCCAATATATGGATTGTTCATTAGTGGTTC